TATTAATTATAATGTATTAATTGAATATTTATTAAAAATATATTTTAAACTAATTTTTGAAACTTAAGACCCGGTCCTAAGGACCGGGTCCCACCTTGGTCCCATGAAAATTGTCGATTTCAAAGTTCATATTTCTTTTAAAAGTTATTCATAAATTTTATTATCTTTTATCAAGAGTTATTTTTTATAGATAAGCGATTAGACTTTTCTATAACTCGTTATTTCTAAATTTGTTATCATTTGGGACCGTTTAACATAGAATGCAAACGCTAACTAAATAATTCAAAATGATTTTATGCTTATTACAGACCAAGAGAAATTTATTCAATGGTTTGTTATTAGTTAGGCTAAGATATTCTTATACATTAAACACACTTACCATGGTGGACATCTATATCTCGTATTTAGTAGCTGCGGATTTACTCACATAAGACGAGTAGCTTATACAAGAATATTGTTATAAATGTGACACTTTCTTAAGTTTCATTTAAATAAAAAATTTTTGGGTTGCCACGTGATCTATCAAATTGTACGAAGCACTTATAACGCGCAGCAGTTTTTATAACTTTTCTTTTTTTTTTAAAAAAAAAAACAAATTTATTATAAAGTAATATAAATAAAAAGGTAATAAAAAAAATTGAATAAGAGTATAAATACACCATAATACGTCATAATATAAAAATATCAAAAAGGTTTAAAAAAATGAAGTCTATCTGTTATTAAATTACCCGGAATTAAATGAACCTCCTTGTTGATGATCCCCATTTTGAACAGTCGAATTAGAACCACCACCAAAACTGTTGGAAACCAAATTATCGGTAAGGAATTGTCTCAAGTGAAATTCGAGATTTTCTTTGTGTCTATTAGAAAACTCTAAGAGTTGTTGTTGCCACTGCTCGTTTTGTCTTAAACCAAGGATGTTAAAGTTTAAATATTGAATTATATTTGAAATCATTTCACAAACAACTTTATAAATTTTTTGATCATTAGGATGTTGAAAATAAAATGTAAAAAGATTGCTTGAGCAAAGACGATTATTAGATGAATATAAGTTATTAGTTAATAATTGAGAAATGAGCTCATTAAAGGTTATTTCTTTATAAGTAATAAGATAAATTTGAACATCGTTGTTTGGCCTGTAATAGAATGACCATTCAAGTTCTTGAGAAAGAGATTGAGTGTTTTGAATACATAGTAAAGATTGATCGTTAACAAATGACATGTTATTTGGAGGCGAAGAGGGCGTATGAGAAATAATCTCAATAAAAGTTGCATTGGATTCGTTACCATCTTGAGGATTGTGTGGAGTAGACATTAAATGAAATGCTACAAATTTTGACCTTGTTACGATGTGGTACTGTATCTGGATCTTTACGCTAATGTATAAAGTATGATGCGCTTATTTATACAATCAAGAAAGTGACAGAGACGAAAAAAATAATAGATTATTCGTTTTTTTTTTTAAAGAATAAAATAAAATAAATGATGAGTATACTCAATCCACTTGAGTTTATAATCTACAGTTTATATATAAAATCCGTGCCACAAATGAAGTGGAATATAATCTGCAACTAATATAGTTCGAAGTATCAAACAAAATAATATATTATACAAATTGTTTATCCATATTTATCCTTTTTGGTGTTACACAATTAATGAACACTTTTTAATGATCAATGTTGATAATACTGTAAAATATTGACGAAATATGCACATAAATGGAAATTTTTTTATGCATAATATATGCACATTATCCAATGATTGTCATTTTTCCCTTAACCCCTTAACGAAAGTCGCAGCATTTAAAGATCCTCGTACTATATTGATTCGCTGTTAAATTTTTTGTGCTTGTATAAGTCTACTAATAAATAAATAAATAAATATATATATATGAAATAATCTAAACTTTCATTTACAAAAGCATATGGATTGTGATCTAAGAAAATCAAATTCTGAGAATTTTTTAAGATTTTAATTGCATTTAATTTTTTATTACATTTGATTAAAATGTAATAAGATATTAATTTTAGTCAAAAATTTCTCAGAACTTGATTTTCTTAGATTACAACCCATATTTGCTTTTTAAATGGTCTATCACATAGAGTTTTTTTCTTTTATCACTTCCAAGATATTAGCCGGGTCCGTTTGGGCAAAAAAAAAAATTTATAGACCCGGACCCGGGGACCCGAGTTTGATACGTTCCGGGCTGGAGTAAATTATCTATGTGTTGCATCAAATAAACAATCCGTGATACTATCTTAGTGCATTATGAAAAATGGGGCCAACCGATGTTCGTCAATTTGATAGTCAAATATTTTTTTACTCATAACACGTCAAAAATCAATACAAAAATATGAATTTATAAACAAACACTTTGAATCTAAAAAATTTCTCAAATCCTTACAAGCATTTAAAAATTATTTTTAAAATCATTCTAATCAATCCAACATGTTGAATTATCGACGGCACAAATTCCGATCGTCTGAAAGAGAACATGTCATTGTGAAACCTTTCAGTTAATAGACTAATAAGTAGATTATTATTATGAAGCGATTTTCCGAAATTTATGTTATACTTTCAATCTTCAGAAACTGTCGAAGTTCGTCTTCCAATCGAGGTGCTAATGTCTCAGCCAATGAATTAGAAACGAAGGGATTAGTTCCTCCAAGTTTTGCCGCAGTTCAACAGCGTAATGCTACATCCTTTATGCGGATTCCGGTATCCATGGCTTCCCATTCGTACCTTATAACCTATTAAGGAACCCCATCGACTACAAAGGAAAAAAATCGTTGGGGTGGATATTGTAATCATGGTGATATTCTGATTCCAACTTGGAATCATCCATATGTTTTTTTACTCAAAATGCTTACACATGACGCGGCTGAGGAAATGATACGCGACAATCCAAACGTGTTAAAAAATGGTTTTTTTAATTTATAAAATTGTTCTCATTTGTTCATTCGTATTCACTTTTAAAATTATAAACCTTATATAAATGTTTGACCATTGATTGTACATTGCATTTATATTACTTTGATTAAAAAGATATCCTCCTGATAATAATGAAACGAAGGAATATACAAAAGAACATGAGAAAATGCGATTCCCATACTGGATTGGGCTACTTACCGGTAAATCTTGGATATCTAACACTTGTAGATGACATTTCCAGCCCAACACAAAGACCTTATAATCCAGACGGGTCTATAACACCCTATAATCCAGCTGGATATTCAACAGTCAGACACTCAAATAGCAATCACATTACTAATGAGGACCCAACATTGTAACTTTCTGCAACTCTGTTTTTTGTCCCATTCTTTACCAAACTTTACTGATGGATAAATGGCGTCAATAGTAAGCATACCCTGACATTGCTGCTTTTGATACCATCTTCTTTATTCACCATTGTAAAGTTGATCGAATTCTGGCTATTTGGCAGGTTTGTCATTCTGGTTCTTGGATCATTGGATACGATTTTAGTGATGGCACTTTACGATCTTAAGGTTCGACGAAAACAACTTTACACCTTTTTCGTTAATCAGTCTGGACCTCAAAAAGAGTGTCTTATTCTAAAATATGAGTTCGCTTATTTCAAGTATTCGAAATGTTTTTCATCGTACTTGTTTAATTAGAGCTTGGATGCACAATCCTGAACCTGGTCACAATACCAGCTTTTAATTGAGACAATAAAATATTATCATCCCAATGAAAACTTGTAAGTTTTACATTTTATTTAAAAATTTTTCATGAATCATTTTATTATTTATTTCTTATCCTACAGCAGACGATACCATTGGAAGCTTAACTTAACCGTTAAAAACAAAAAATTGGTTCATTATTTCAAATCCGTATTCTTTGAGCCAAACGGTAACGCGTCTACCCTAAAAGTAGCCACAATTTTGCCGGACTCGTATCAGTTTTTGCTCATGGTAAAGAAACTCGATGTGCCAATTGTAAGGCTAATCCCGAATCATTGTTTTATGGCCATGTTAATCTCATCGTTTGCATGCAAAGGCTTTTTATTAATTTGAATGTGAGCAATTTAGCGCCTTTTCTAACTTGTTGGCAGATCAAATTACTCTCATAGCTGTTGTTAAGAATGGAAGCTACATGAGACTTGAAGAAGTCGGTTTGGTTTCCGCGAATTATGTAGCAATTGATTTAATAATGAACAGCCAGAGCAATGGAAGTTTGGTTTATAAGGGCCTAAGAATTTCGATCGTGACGTACTAATAAAAATTTATTACGATTTTAAAATGTTCACTTGTACAATATTTATTGGTTGCTTACATATGTGATTATGGGTCGAATATTTTTTTAATAAAAATTAAATGACATTTGTTTTACACTTTCTGATTATAAGAAATTATACATGATGAAGAGAAAGTTGTGAGACTAATTCAAGATTAAAAAAAGTTTTTGTCTATAGTCATTAAAAGTGCCGAATTTATGCGCAAACTTGATAATTTAAGTCAGGATCGTCTTTACCTAGAAGCCAGATTACCGTTTTTTATTGACATTTATTTCAATATCAGCAATCATGAAATGAAAAATTTAAAAGTAAGTTTTAATTTCGACAAAAAATGAACATGTAAAAATAAAAGGTATAAGTATCTACAAACCGAAATTTTAGTATGTCTAAAAAAAAAAAATTGCCAATCATCCTTTTCTGCTTCTATATAACAATAGCTAGACAAAGCGCGTTCAAAAATGTCAGCAACCAACTAAATTGTACGCCGAAATATCTATAGTTATAAAAAAATAAAAAAATAAAAATTTTAAATCACAAGTATTATTGAACGAATAGGAATTTCATGCTAGGGGTAATTGAGAGTCATTTCTTAAGAGTCAGAGTATTAAATTGGCGACCTAATGAAAGCAAGGTGTAATACTTGTCTATAGAAATGAACATCCCGGGGACAACGAACGAACATATTTATATTTCGCATAAAAATACACTAAAGTACAAAATACCTTGATAAAACGCGTTTGTCAACGAAAAAATAATTTGGAAAGTCAGTTTGCATGCTGAAATACCTGTAAGTGAAAATAAAATTTATTAGAACTTGAATTCCAAATATTATTGAACAAGTAAGCATTTCATGCTAGGGTAGTTGGGAGTCATTTCTTAAGAGTCAGAGTATTAAAGGGACGACCTAATGAAAAAAAGGGGTAATACTTGTCTATAGAAATGAACTTCCCGGGAACAACGAACGAACAATATTTATATTTCGCATAAAAACACACTAATTGTACAAAATACCTTGATAAAACGCGTTCGACAACGAAAATAAAATTCGTAAAGCTCGGTTTGCATTCTGAAAATACCTGTAAGTGAAAAACAAAATTTATTAGAACTTTAATTCCAAGTATTATTGAACAAGTAAGTATTTCATGCTAGGGGTAGTTGGGAGTCATTTCTTAAGAGTCAGAGTATTAAAGGGACGACCTAAGGATAGAAGGGGTAATACTTGTCTATAGAAAGAACTTCCCGGGAACAACGAACGAGCAATATTTATATTTAGCATAAAAACACACTAGTAGTACAAAAATACCTTGCGCATGGCTTTAAGACTCGTTCGAAATTTCAAAAATACAAGTACTCTGGTAAACTCATAATAGAAAAAGTTATTTGAAATTTGGTTTTGGATACGGGAAGGCCAATGTTTATAGAAAAAGGAAATAACGTAAGACGGTTTATTTTAGTAAATAATATTACGTAATTTAGTTTAATTTAGTAATTATCATGATGTTATGTTCATATATGGTTGTGATCATTGCAGATCAAACTACGTTAAAAGTAAAACGACATCATAAACTTTAGTAATTCATTATATATATTTATTTTTTATTTTATAAATTATACGTATACGAACTTTTTTTAGATATCACGTAAATTATAAAAAAAATAAAAATTTTCTCGATAATTCCAATGTTCATAAAATAAAGTCATTTGTGTAACAATTAATCACACTATTTGTGATTGAGATCATAGGGAACGGGGATTAACCAATCATGTATTGTCGTAGAATTATATAGTCCTTTGCTACGCCCCGGACTAATAAAAATCTGTTATTTATTTGCCATAAATATAGTTATCTTGTAAATGATAAATTTTCGTCTTTTGTAGATTATAACTAATTAAACATTAAATTATAAACCATCCTTTATCAGAACATCCAGATTTCGAATACATTCGTTTTCATGCTCCCATACTATAATTATAATACATTTCCAGATTATTTTGTGCATTAGAATTGCCTCCTTCTGCAGATTTTATATACCATTCCATTGCTTTCTTCGAATTTTTAAATGTTCCTTTGCCATATTGATAACAATATGCTAAACTATATTGTGCGTTAGAACTTCCTCCTTCCGCAGACTTTAAATACCATTTAAATGCTTTTTTTACATCTTTATTCATTCCGTTTCCATAATAATAACAGCAACCTATGTTACATTGTGCATCAGAATTTCCTCCTTCCGCAGACTTTAAATACCATTCAAATGCTTTCTTTATATCCTTATATGTTCCGATACCTTGTTGATAAAAATCCCCTATCTTACGTTGTGCATCAGAATTTCCCCCTTCCGCAGACTTTAGATACCATTCAAATGCTTTCTTTTTATCCTTACATGTTCCGATACCTTGTTGATAAAAATCACCTATCTTACATTGTGCATCAGAATTTCCTCCTTCCGCAGACTTTAAATACCATTCAAATGCTTCTTTATCATCCTTTTCTGTCCCGTGATCATTTTGATAATAACAACCTAAAATATATTGTGCATCAGAATTTCCACCTTTTGCAGCCTTTAAGTACCATTCAAATGCTTCAATTACATCTTTATCTACATCTATACCATACGAGTAACACGTTCCTAAATAATATTGTGCAATAGAATTTCCACCTCTTGCAGCTTTTAAATACCATTCAAAAGATTTCTCTTTGTCTTTATTTGTTCCTTTACCATAATAATAACATCCACCTAAACTATATTGGGCATTAGTATTTCCTGCTTTAGCAGACTTTAAATACCATGCAAATGCTTCCTTTTCATCTTTATCTGTCCCGTTACCATGTAGATAACATTGACCTAAAATATATTGTGCATCAGAGTTTCCACTTTCAGCTGATTTTAAGAACCATTTATATGCATTTATTTTATCTTCAATCGTTCCTGCACCACATCTATAACAATTGCCTAAACTATATTGTGCATACGGATTTCCTCCTTTTGCGGATTTTAAATACCATTCAAATGCTTTCTTTACATCTTTATTCGTCCGTTTACCATCTTGATAAAAGGTACCCAACCTATATTGTGCATCAATATTTCCTCCTTCAGCCGATTTTAGATACCACTCAAAAGATTTCCCTTTGTCTTCATGTACTCCTTTACCATAATCATAACAATGAGCTAATCTATATTGTGAATCAATGTGCCCGCCTTCAGCAGATTTCAAATACCATTCAAATGCTTTCCTTTCATTCTTATAAGTTCCTTTATTATGATAATAAGTTGCTAAACGATATTGTGCACAAAGATTTTCACTTTTGGCAGATTTATCATACCATTCAATTGCTTTCTCTACATTAATCATGGTTCCTTTACCGTCTTGATAACAACAACCCAAACTATATTGTGCATCAGCATTGTCACCTTCAGCAGATTTTAGATACCAATCAAATGATTTCTTTTCATCTATATATGTTCCGATACCATGTTGATAACAATAACCTAAACTATATTGAGCATCATTATTTCCTTCTATTGCAGACTCCAAATACCAGTTGAATGCTCCTTTCTCATCTTCATTCGTTCCTTCACCATATTGACAACAATAACCTAAATCATATTTTGCATCAGAGTTTCCACCTCCAATAGATTTTAAATACCATTCAAATGCTTTTTTTACATCTTTTTTGGTCCCTCTACCAAAATGATAGCATCTTGCCAAATTATATTGCGCATCCGAATTTCCTTCTTTCGCAGATTTTAAATGCAACTCAAATGCTTTGTTATAAATTTCTTTAACATCATCGTGATGGCAGTTGGTTTTCAATTGATATTTTTTTGTAAGAGAGCTTTTGTAGTTTGGAAATCGTATGACCCAATCGAACGAACTATTATTCATGATGATTTCTTTGTAACAATATAAGGCGAGTAAATAATTTCCAATAACGGTGTTATATTTTTTTAAATCATCATAAAAATGATTTTCATCTTCGATATTCTTGGATAATAGGTAGTATTCATACGCTCTATTTACATTTATGACGCACCCTCCAATACCATGTTGATGAAAAAATCCAATTAAACTTGAAAACCATATTTCATTTTTTTGATGATTTACCATTAATTCCAAAATCGATTTGAATTGAAAACTTGCAATGAAATTTATCCATTTGATCATTTTGTTCTCAAAATTTTTAAAATCACCGATATGATCGGCATATAAGACCCTATTATGAAAATCTTTAAGAAACCCTTTTAGGAAACGTTCATCTTTGGTAATGAAATTCCTTCCTTCTTGCGAATTCATTTATAATATTTATATTTTGTTTTTTGTTTTTTTTTTTGTTTTTTAAGGGGGATAAAGAATACATTCTTTTCAGGGTCTTGGATTCGGTTAAATACTGTAGTTTGCAATTTCAATTCATATCATATGTTCAAAAAGATTTTCAAAACAAAGCTGACGAACGTCATTTCTAACTTATTATGGTGGTGATAAAAAGAGCGTACAAGCTTCTGTTTATGGAATGAATAAATGGCGAAAAAAATATTTAGAGTTCATGAGAAACCTTTAAAGGTAATTTGTTTATATGCAGTAAAACTATCGGGCGTTAGATGTACGCTTTATCAGCATAAAAAGGGTAAAATCTAGAATTCTTGTTTTTCAAATGACCGGAATAACATTTAAAAATCAACGCCATCAACTCAAATTCCCTTTTATCTCGTTTAAATAAACGTATTTCTTGGCAAATCAATGATACCCCATTGAAAGGTTTCCTTTTTTTCATCAAAATAATGCAAAATAAAGGTACATCTACGGTAAATCACATGACCGGATTTATCAAACAAAAAATTTCCGAATACTATTACAAGTTTATTATCACTTACATCGTGCAAATAGATTCTTTTTATTCCCAATGTGAGAAATTCTTTAAAAACGAACGTTAAATTGACTCATTGGTTAAAACGCATGATCATTTTCGTATGATCGAACGTTAATTTTTATATGAACTAACAAAATATAGGTATCATTCTTATTTTAAACAATTTGTTTATTCAAAACCATTAATAAATTCCATTTTTATTTTAAAATTAAATGTTATTGAGACTAGGTTCTTTTTAGAAAGTAGAACGCTAAATTTGTATTCTGTACGACGGATTTTGGGTATTTATAATAATGCAAGTTGGCTGTCCAATGTTAAGTTGGTATCTTTCGAGGAATCCCATTATAGATAAACTTAATCGAATTGCCTGCTTCCGGGTAATAATTTAAAAGACATTTTCATTAAACATGTGAACCATTTGTAATAATGCAGGTTAGATGTCCACCACACAGAGTACATGGTTAATTACCCCCAAAATTCTCACCCCCCGTGGGATTATTGACCGGCATTACGACATTATGAAAATCTTCCGTGACGAATAATCGGTGACAAATATGATTCATCCCCTGAAATATTTCGAATTACTTGATCAAAATGAAAAATAATGAAAGATGTGACAAATATTTTACGATGAGCACGTGGGTGAAAATTCTGGGGTAGACGTTACATAGATTCACCGGACACGTGACCGCGGACATTAGAATTTCAGGTGACATATGCATAACATCAAACCTAAATAAACCCCAACGCATGACAATTATCTAATACTTAATTATAAACAATTACGGCTTTATCCCGAATAGAGTTTTATTCAGTTTTTCTAATTGTTTATAAAAATGAATATTGTCTCTTTTTTAAAAAAAATTTTATCCCTTAAATATTATTTAAAAAAAAAAAAAAAAAATGACAAATGATACAAAAATTATCAAAAGTCCACCAAATTCGGCTGACCGGGATGAGTGGATGACGGATGTGCTGTTTAGGGAGCACATTATATTTCATGAATTTCATACCTTTAATAATTTAAAATACATTGGGGATGCTGCGGCTAGGGCTTATGTCGCTACTTCAAAAATGTACCATAAACCTATGCTTTTGAAACCTATAAACTTTAACCAATCATTTACCATTCAAGATCTTGTGAACGAGGTAAACGATTGTTTACGCTCTTAACGGGGTTTTTTTTTTATTTTATCGCAGAAATTAAATAAATTAATTTTCGTGTAAATATTATTGTTATCTTTGCTTGATTCTAGGTAAAACAACACAGAAAAGTCGAGTTGCATGAAAATATTGTACGGTTTTATGGCATTACTAAAGAGGGTACGTCACATAAAACTGAAAATACGAATGACGCTGTCACTCTCGATAATTTGCTGCGCCTACCTCGCAGACTCGTTTAACTGAGTTTCCTCCTATTTTAGATCGAGGTCAGTATCAATATATGCTGCTACTTGAATACTCTGATGAAGGAACTCTCTGCAGTTTCTTGAAGAAATCGTTCAAACAACTCAAATGGGACGTCAAGTTGAAGTTGGCAAAACAACTTGTAAACGCAGTTTATTGCTTACATGGAAACGATATTGTTCATAAGGATTTGGTAAGTTTTTTTTTTTTTGAGTGGACTTTTGCAATACTTCATGTAACTCCTTTTAACATGACTCGAACATCTTTAAAAGAACTCTGTAAATATTCTTATTCAAAATGGAAATATTAAATTAAGTGGGTTTGGCATCACCACGAAAACAAGGAAACCGATGAATGCTCTTTCAAAAATTTATGGTACTGTTTTTCAATACGTTGACCCAGAATATCTAAAGAATCATCAAGAATTTATTAGGAATAAGAAATCGGATGTATATAGTGTAGGTGTCGTACTTTGGCAAATCACAAGTGGCAGGATTCCATTTGAGTTTGAATTGCCTGATTTCAGTTTGGTTCAATCAATAATTGAAGGAAAAAGAGAAATTGCTATTAAGGGGATTCCAAGTAAATATGTAGAGATTTATACAGGTAGGCACCATTTGGTAAACGTTTCTTTTAAAAAAAATGATGATGATGATGATTTTATTTTCTTACAATTTTTAATCACTTACCATTTTCATTCATAGCTTGTTGGGAAGGAAATCCAAAGAATAGACCAAATATTCAACAGGTTTTAAAAAAACTTAATGAAATCGAAATAATTGGTGAAAAGTCAAGAGGAACAGAATCAACCGTTATTAAAAATACAACACCCAACACAAATGATAGCATAAAGGATGTAGAGTATATGAAAAATTCATTTTCTTCAACAGCGTCAACTCCTTCTTCGATCATATTTGATATATTGGCAATGTTCAAAACGAGGCATCAAAGTGATGAATCCAGTATAATGACTTATATATCATCGCAAAATCGCATGCAATTTGATAATTGCAACGATTCGGCAGTCGGATCGTGTTCAACCTTGGTGGAAAAACATTTTGAAAAAAAATCACTAGAAGAATTATTATCTAAACCCGGAACTATTTCAGAGATCAAGTATTCCTTAGAAAATCTAAACAAGGATATCAATGAATTAATATTACGAAAATTACTGTTGGAATTTATTAATCAATTTTACCTTTCGCATAATACCAACGTTACTTCTGATTGGCTAAATGAATTTATACAAAATCATATTGGTGTCAATGATCAATTATCATCAAAGTATTTATTGGACATGATGTTGAATCATAAGCACCAAGCTTATTTTACGAACCTTCTTGGATTTTTTTATGAACATGGGATCGGCTGTGATGAGATGGATCAAAAGAAAGCATTCGACTTTTATTTAAGAGGATCCGTGTATGATGAATGTCAAGAAAATATTTGTTCTGAAACTAATTTATGTTCAACCTTTAATGATACTTTTCTTTGTTTAAATGATATACTTTTATCCATTGGACAATATTTCTTGGGATTATTTTATTACAAAGGAATCAATGATGATGTTGATCAGGATTTTGAGAAAGCATTTGAGTGGATTTCAAAATCCTCGGAAAATGGAAATATTGTAGCTCAGTGTATGCTTGGGTATTTATATGAACATGGTTTTGGTACACCAAAAAGTGAAAAGCAAGCATTTGAATGGTACATGAAATCAGCAGAAGGAGGAAATGCGTGCGGACAATGTAATGTGGGATTATTCTATGATAAAGGTTCGTTCTTAGTTACTCAAAATAAATACGAAGCGTTTAAATGGTACTCAAAAGCAGCCGAAGGAGGAGATTCCACCGGTCAATATAATCTTGGTTTATGCTATGAGGAAGGAATAGGCACGGTTAAAGATAAAAATAAGGCCTTTGAATGGTACATGAAATCTGCCGAACGTGGAAATGCTTCAGGACAATGTAAGATTGGAGTATGTTATGAAGAAGGAATAAGTATTGAGAAAAATTGGAATAAAGCTTTTAATTGGTATTTAAAATCTGCGAAAAATTACGATATATTGGGACAATACAACCTCGGATTATGTTATATGAAAGGAATCGGAACCAATAAAAACGAAGCGAAGGCATTTGATTTATTTCTGGAATTTGCTGAAGCCGGAAATAGTCTTATCCAGTGTTATTTAGAATATTGTTACGATCATCAGATAGGAATGGTTAAAAATAGCAACGACGAAGCGGTCAGATGGGATTCAAAACCTACGGAAGAAAAGGATATTTTAAAGCATTGTAATCTTGCTCTATGTTTTGAAAATATTGTCAAAGATAATGAGCAAGCATTTGAATGGTGTTTAAAGTTTGCAAAAAGTGGAAACTCTACTGCTCAATATTACCTTGGGGAATGTTTTGAAAATGGTTTAGGCACAAAGAAAGATGTTGAAAAAGCTTTTGAATGGTATTTAAAATCTGCTGAAGGTGATAACAGAAATAGTCAATATAAAGTTGGTCATTATTATCAAAATGGTATAGGAGTTGCAGAAGATAAGGAAAAGGCGTTCGAATGGTTGTTAAAATCAGCAGAGAATGGAATTACTAAAGCACAATTTGCCGTTGCACTTTGTTATATGTATGGAATTGGAACGAAAAAACACGTTTTTGAGTCGATCACGTGGTTTCAAAAGGCCAACGAAAAAGATGATAATAAGTTTAAGGCTAGCAATTAATACATAATTGTAAAAAATAAAAGTAAACATTTTGTATATATAATTTATTACATACATACTATCATTTGTAAATTATTAATTATTTATATCATAAAATGAAGAGATACTAGATCAAGATAGATAAGTATTTATAATTAGAATAAGGATACTCAGAAAGGTTATCTTAATAAAAGAATTGATTTGGTTTAAAGTATACTTTTCATTCGTTCAAATTCATTGTATAAATAATCGAAAATAATATAAATATACGATATAATATAATTTATAAAATAAATTTAAGCAAACAAATCATAACAAATTGAAAAGTGTCTTTTTTGAATGATATTTTTTAATTTTATAAATGATATGTCACAAAAAATATCATTAAAACATTGATAATTTCAATACTTACGTTGTCCACAAATTTACCATAATCTTTTGTTCATATGAGAACAAAATTCCAAAGACTAACGAAAATATTATATATTTATATGTTTTTATTCAATTATGGGATTTAAGAATATACTCATACTACGCCCCAAAATTTTCTATGAATTATTGAATTTCTAATTTTATATAGAGACATTAGAACAAGAACTGTATCTTATAAATTATCATTTCACAAATTTACTCGTTGATATATATATAGTCCAGTTACAATTTTAAAGTTTGGAACCTTCGCGACCGCGTAATTGCACTATTTGTAGCGGAAATACATAAAAACCTTTGCATTTGTTGTACCATAGCAGTTTTCCGGAGTTTTCGAAGAACTTTGAACGTGATCATGATTTAACGTTGAAGCTTGGAGGTTAAAATCTCATGTTTTAAAATATACTGTATTAAGTAAGCAAAGTTAAAAAACAATACCGTAATTTTATTCTGCTGAATTTATTATTAGAAAAAATTTATCGACATTCATTTAATTATTAAAAAAAAAATAGAACACTTGGAAGGAACACTTATTAATGGTGTATAAATTTTGGGAAAAATCTTTGATTTTATTTGCATATATTTCAAATATTTTGCGTGGTTGTTCTTTATCGAGAAGTATTAGCTTAATAATGTATAAAATAATGACAAAGCTACACTTCAATCCTAAATATTTCCATGGATTAATTTGTTTATTCTAAATTTCAAAAATTTTTCATCGGAGATCCGTTTTTTTAAAAAAAAAATTTCTGCTCGTCTTATTGGTTGGACTTATTTATTACTATTTTTGACAAATTTTTCTAAAAAAAAAAACTGTGGATATAAAATATAACATAATAATAGTATTTAAAGTTACTTATTTAATATAAATAAATTCATTAAATTTAGAAAATGTTTTTTAGGACCCGAACAATATAAAATCTAGAATAAACTGAAATAATCGTGTACAGCTAATAAAATAAAATATACAAATATGTAAATAAAATACTAATAATTGAAATACTAAAAACAGCTAACTACATAAATACAACTTAATAGAGATAAAAAATCAATGTAATACGAAAATCATCGTTATATTATTTAATTTCATTTAATGTTTTACATGATAGAACAAGCTCCTATACCAGTTCTACTTGGTTGTTCTGTAGTTCCGGCTGAAACTGTAGATGGTTTAGCGACAACAGTAGTTGGATTCATTTTTTTTTTTAGGAAGAGTTCTTTGAAATTGATCTTTGAGATAGTTTGTACTAATAAATTTGAATTTACGTGAATTTGTGAAATTTACAAGTTTTGGGCATTAGAATCTTCTCAAATATGGATTTCGATTTGATGTGTTGACGAAAAGTTGCAAGTTGATTAATTTATACATTTTTTTTTGACTAAAAGATCAACAAATATGGGTTCGCCAAATCTAAAAATAAATTGGTAAACATTATCCTATGTCATAATAGAAATTAAATTTTTATATTATTGTTTAATATTGTTTTTCTATTTTTTTAAGATAGTTACCGAGTTTTATAAAAATATATTTAAGCTTTTCGCGTACGAATAATCTAATAATAACAGAACAAACCATTTTTCGCTAATAACTGCTTTAATTTGAAATTTTATTTGTATTATTTGTATTATTTGTCATCAAAACAGATTTAAAAAAAAATTTCGTCTAAGCATGATTTCTTTTTTATCAATGCATTGATAACAACATTTTTTTCTAGTAATACACCCTTTTTTAAATGTCACGCGACAAAATAGAACGTGTCAAAAATCTAAAAAAAAAAAAAATCTTTTTTTTTTTTCTGATTCTTATCTCATTTGGGAAATTTCCCGCAAAAAGTAATAAAACTTGTATTTTTAAACATCACCAGAAACAGTTTTCGACATCATTCATTATTCAGGCGAACAGACAATGTTTTCCAATTTTTTTTACTGACATACGCCAGCCATCGATACTCTAATTTTTTTTTGGTCATACAACTGTTTAACTTTATTACAAAAAAAAATTTTTTTCTTGGGAAAATTTACCCCGTCATTTCAATAACTTTTTTTTATTAAAAGTAAAATTACATAAATCAATTTTTTTGAGTTAATTAGAAGTATTATACATTATAATAGTAGTAGTATTAGTAAAATTGTTATATAATAATAAAAATGTTCATTTTTGTGAAAAAGTTTGTTTTATCGGCTACTCAATCAACCATTTAGCCAACGTGTCTCGAACAAAAATTCTCGATTCTTTTAATGAGTCAGAGTCAAAAGGTGAAGGTGGAGAAAATTCAGTTCCATGAGAACCACCTTTAATAAGGAAAATACTATTTTCTTTGGTGGTTTTTGGATTAACCGAATCACTACTAACACTTAGAGCAGTCCAAGGATCCATGTCACCATTAACGAAAACAGTTTTCGAGAATTTTCCATTAAAACCACCAAATTTCTTATTTGTTATATTAACCATTGGAGAAGAAACTATTCCAGGAAATATGAAATCACATTGACCTTGATAATAACTGATATCTATGGTTTTTGAACGAATTGAAAGCAAAGGAAATTTTGGAGCGGTTTGATAATAACCTAATTCAGTACAATACTGATAAGTATAGGAAGTCAAATCCTTATTTTCTTTCGTATTAATCGAAGTCGTTGCAAATGTATTAATTTTAGTTTCAGGGGTAGTTATTCCTGTAATATTTAAGAATGCTTTAACTCCTTCCGTGTAAATAAGTGCAGAAGTTTCCGGGGATTCGGGAGCTTGTGCAAATGGGCCACAAATAGCCAAGATATTATCAAGTTGTTCAGGTGATTGAGGTGGAACATAATCTTGCACAATGGTAGAAGTAGGAAAACTTAAAGCGGATGCAAAATCTCGGTTATCTTCGAGCATTTCTAAACCAAACGTTTGCTTCAATTCTAAGATAGCCGATTCATTACCGGACGTCAGAATTGGATCAAATACTAAACTAAATGCATCCGAAATATTTTTCGCACAAGGTAATGCTTTAGATACTCTTTGATCGTATTCAAAGAAATCTAATCTTGCCTCTATTGGAGCTGATGATGCATAAGCTGCAAATACGTCTTTGGGGAATTTTTTTCTCATCCATGTTGCCAGATTTCCTGCATAAGACGCTCCTACGGTTATCCATTTAGCGTCTTTAGGAATCTTTAAATCTTCTGGTGGATTTTGTATGAAATTTGCAAAATCCAATAGCGCTTGATCTATTGTTAAATATTTAAAGTCTTTTGATGGATCACTTTCACCATAATATCTATGTTCAATGTTTATTAAAAGTCCACTAAGGTTTGCCGCCAATTCACTTATGAATGAAAAAGTTGTTATTGATGGTTCAATTGTGGATTCTCCAGGTGTGTAAACTATAATTTAACAAAATTTAAATAAAAATTTGTTAAAAATCAAATCTTAAGTTATAAGAAAATAAATACATTATACTTACGTAATATCGGACCACTTTCTTTATAAAAAGTTGAATTTACATAATATTTTTGAAAGAATTTTCCTGATGTTTTATTAAGATGATCTATGGTCTGATTATAATAGAATGCTTTTGGTGAATTTTCTTCGGTAGGTTTTTCGGGAGTTGTGGTTCCGTTCTGCGGTCTTTTGACAAAAAAAAGTGAGTTTAAGCCGATTAAATTTATTGCTTTATTCAATTGTTTGGTAGCATACCTTTGAATGGATCTAGCCTGTAGATCTGTTGAAATGGCTGCTGCATTTACTTTGCTAAAACAACTAACAACAGCAGTGATGACGAAAAATAAAAGTAAGGTTGTATTATATTTTGTCATTTTTTTTTTTTTAATCTTGATTAATAATATTAAAGGAGAATCAATCTCTTTAACAATTAATCAGGAAATGAATTATTTTTATTTTTTTTTGTTGAAACCATTTTTTCTTAAAGGTTATTTATATTTTTTTTAAAAAAAAAAAAATACTATAAATACTATGAAGTATAAATTTCTAAATATTATTCGAAAAAGAGTGTTACTCGACAATTGTTTATTGTCTATAGAATAATATTGCAATAAGAAAATCATTTTGTATTCACTTATTGTACTTTTAAGGAAAATCGTCTTTTTTAACAAATCGAGAAATAAAGTAAAAAAAAAAAAAAAAGTATGCTTCAAGTTGGTTTTGGGATTTAATGTTAGAGAAAAAAAAAAAAAAGAAAGACACTTTGTATTAATGGACTCTCTTTCTTTCTTTCTTTCTTTCTTTTTTTTTTTATAAAAATTAGTCAGAAAATTCTTTTGAAACTGAATACAAGGCCTAGTAATACAACGTCTTAACTTAAAATTTACGGAATTTCAACGTATCCAACTTGATATGCAAGGGATTTCATGTTTCTGATATTATTAGAACAATAGTATATTTTTGACTTACATTACATGTGGCTTTACGAATAAATATTGTCCTTTTTTAAGCATTTCATACAGCAAAAAATCCTTTTTATACTTACCGAATTAATAAAATGTAGGATGATGTCGTAAAGTACAATACAAATTTAGACATGCGATAAATTTTTCTGGGTGACGAATTGACCATTCGAGGAGAAAATATGGTAATTGAAGAAACAGTT